AAATAGTGGGTGCTCGATTAGCGGGAGCGTCTGTAACGGAGACATCTAAACTGTTGAACGTGTCAAGAGGGACAGTATCCACAGTAATGACAGCATACACGAAATACGGAAAAACATCATCGGCGAAAAGTAATAGTGGGCGAAATCCAAAGTTGACTGACAGGGACCGACGAACATTAAAACGGATTGTGACAAGACAACATAAAACTACCGCGGCTAAAGTTACAGCAGAACTTAACGCTCATTTGGATAATACTGAATCTATTCCGCGAAGGATTGAAGCGGTTTTAAAAGCAAATGGATTTAAATGAATTAATAAGCAACATCTTATTAATAAATAAATATTGAGTATATGTCAGGTGTTCATATTATTTTGTCCACCCCCTGTATATATATATATTTACTATAGAGCAAATAATAATATCGTTCAAATAAAGTTGCTTAAAAGAAAAATTATTTTAATACTATTATAGGTCTGTATTTGTAGAACTTCTATTATTGATATTTAGATTTTTTAAAAACTAACTTCCCTTGAAAAACAAGAATATATATATAAGACGGTAAAAAATAACGAATTAATTTTACTTGTTAAACTTATTTATTATTCTCTTTAAATTTCGGTCAATTATTCAGGTAACAATGTTATTAAAATATATTATATACAGTTTATCTATTCAATAGATCTAACAAACAACTTTTATTATGTTTTGATACAATTAACATTTTTCTGTATTTTTTGAAATATTATATAGTATATAATTTACAAAATTTATGTATTCTTACACTACATTAAAATTATATATTATAATATTTGTTTTTAATGTTCAAAAAAATAATTTTTTATTTTTACATTTTTAAATAGTCTGCTTTTACAATATATTACAAACATTTTTGATGTCCGATAACAAATATTTCTTAATTTACAAGTGTTTTAGTTCATANCCGATAACAAATATTTCTTAATTTACAAGTGTTTTAGTTCATAGAATGGGTATTAAAATACATTATATTTTATCATATATATATATGACTGAGCGCACATAATTTCAACCATAAACTAAAAAATCAGTGTCACTTGAATTGGGTTTTTTTATTTAGAATCAAATTAAAATGTCTACTAAAAATAGTTAGCTATATAGTAGTTCATTGCTAAGTTCTTAATTATTAATTATTTTTTAAAAAGCCATTAACCAAACTGACTGCGTAGTNATTAATTATTTTTTAAAAAGCCATTAACCAAACTCACTGCGTAGTAATACCCTATTCGATTCAATAAAAATAATTAAGGACCTTAAAGATATGTATTGATGAATTTTGTTTCACGCACCTTGAAGGGAACCAAGTTTGTGCATCTTTGTTATAGGATTATACAAGATGTCTCACCAGATTTTAACATCTTTTATAACATTTGATTCAGTGAATACTTGCGTTAGTTTTATTTTTTAATAATTTTTACAGTTTTAGACTAACAAGTAAGTTAAAAATATATTTTTAACGTAAAAACTGTGAAAACCATTAAAAAAAATTAACGCAAAATATTCACTAGATCAATAGTTATGAAAGATGTCAAAACCTGGTAGGATAACTATTTATTAATGTTGAACTATTTTTCATTTTAGAAGAGAAACCACCAATCCAAAAACAAATTAAAGTTAAAATATTTATCTATAAAATGTTATGTTATATGCATTAAAATAGATAAACAATATTTATCTTGTTTTTAAGATGTTATGACCAAAATATTCATAATATGAATATTTGTATATATATTATATTTAATATATTATATCTGATGAACTGATTTTAACTTTTTGTGTTATATCTCAGAAAACTATGATAATACTTAGACATAAGAATTTTTTGACGTTTGATAAGGTCAAATATTAATCTGAGTTATTCTCCTGCCTCTTACGTATAATATATACAACAGTAAAGGTTATACCCACACGTGCTCAAAATATATATGAAATCTTCTAAAAAGTTGTCATAAGTGTTATAATATTTTTTTATTTACTAGTTTTTAAGAAATATTAATATTATAATTTTTTTAGAATAAAAAAATAAAGAAATCTTTTTTGTAGGTCAATCACTTTGTAAAAAATGATGTATTTGAGATTTCAAATAATTCTGTCTTTTGTAAGTAAAAATA